ACCTTTCAAAATAAACTGTGCTGACATCTATTTGTTTTATCTCCCCTTTCTGCTTTTGAAGTTAGCAGCAGTGTGCTGTGCTGAACAGCTGAGGAGGTGTGGGGATTTGCACCGAGCCCTTGGGACAAGAGTGCTAAGGAATCCCTGGAGCAAGAATCTGCTTGGGAAAACGAGGGTTAGGAGAGATGAGAGATGCAACATCTGTCAGGATTGCTTAAAACACAGATTAAAATTGTGCTGCAGTGGATGGTAGCAATGGTGCTGTTGGTTCAGCGGGTGACTTGAAAGAGCAATTCAATGTATATTGTTGCTTCACCAATAGTTTGCTAAAACCTATCTAATGCTGCATGTTAGGCAAAAGCTAAGTAATAAGGGATTTTTATTGGAGACTTTACTCCCAAAAATAAAAGTGGTACGAGAAGCTCCTAACTTAAACCATATATAAAAAATACATGTAATAGTTTTTGTCAAGGTTTTTGAGAAGTGACAACAATCGTTACTATCAAGTCCTACTTCGATGTGAAAGTTATTGTGTCTCGGGCGCTAAAAAACTTTTTTCTCTTCATTATAGGGTTTCCATGGCAACTGCATCCTCCCAGGTTCTAATTCCTGAAATTAATCTCAACGATACTTTTGATACTTTCGCACTTGATTTTACCAGGGAGAAGAAATTATTGGAATGCCTTGATTACCTTACAGGTAATTTTTTTCTCAAGATGCTACTATTATATGTTCCTCATAAAATAGTAGTGATAGGATTTTCTTCATTCCTCTCTGTGGTCAATCAACCTCAGCTGGTGCCCACCAAGCTGCTCTCTCACTCTACCTGCTCAGCAAGACATGAGGAGAAAATAACATGAAAAACTCATGGGTTGAGATAAGGACACGGAGAGCGCTCAGCAATTAATGCCACAGGCAAACCAGACTCTACTTGGGAAGATTAATGTTATTTATTGCCAATTAATTGTTAGAGTACGATAGTAAGAAATAAAAACGAAACAAAATAAACAGTTTTCCCCCACCACCCCATCCTCCCAGGCTCAACTTCACTCCCAACTGTTCTACCTCCTCCCCCTGAGAAGCACAGTGGGACAGGGAATGAGGGTTGCAGTCAGTTCATCACGCATCGTCTCTGTCACTTTTTCCTCCTCACACTCTTCTGCTCCAGCATTGGCTCCCTCCCACAGGATGCAGTTCACAAACTGCTCCAGTGTGGGTCTTTCCCACAGGCTGCAGTTCTCCAAGACGTGATCCAGCATTGATCCTTTCCATGAGGTACAGTCCTTTGGGAATGGATTGTTCCAGTGTGGGTCCTCCATGAGCCACAGTTCCTGCCAGAAAACCTGCTTTTCCATGGGCTCCTCTCCTTGGGCTGCAGCTTCTTTCAGGGATCATCCACCTGCTCCAGTGGGGGATCCTCCTCAGGCTGCAGTGTGGATATCTGCTCCACAGTGGTCCTTCATGGGCTGCAGGGGAACAACCTGCCTCACGATGGTCTTCTCCACAGGCTATAGGGGAATCTCTGCTCTGATACCTGGATCACCTCTTACCCTCCTTCTCTGACCTTGGTGTCTGCAGGGCTACCTTCTTTCACATTTTCTCACTCCTCTTTCCCAGCTGCTGCACAGCATTTTTTACCCTTCATTAAGCATGTTACCACAGAAGCACTACCAGCATGGCTGATGGGCCCAGCTTTGGGCAGCAGCGGGCCCATCTTGGAACCAGCTGCGTCTCGCATGAGGTCAGCTCGTGGTCTCTTCTCACAAAAATCACCCCTGCAGCCTGCCCCACTACCAGAACCTTGCCACATAAGTCCAATACACTCTCTCTCTTGATCCCAACTACAGGAAGCGTTAGGTGCTACAGAGCACACCTGGGGTGCATTTCCTACCTCCTCTCCTTGCATTCCACCCCAGCAGAGTATGGGCAAGTAGGAGTGAGAAATGGTTAAAAGCCACAGCAGCAGAATGAAATGAAAGAACAGCTGGAGCTCAGCCTGGAGCATCCAGAGGAGGGAAAGCAGGGACCAAATCCTGTGTCCCTGGGGACTGATGCTCTATGTGTTGCCCTCTCCCTTGAGGCTCCTTCCTCCTTGCAGCAGATTCCAGGCTGGCAGATGTCCTGCAATCAGCATCAAGGGCTCAGCAATGAAAGTTGGAATTCCTTATGGTGGTGACACTGTGTGTTTCCCCCATCATGAACCAGGAGGCCCTTGCTGTGTCTGGGAGCAGAGAGCACGCAGTGTGCTCTGCACTAGGGTGTGGGATGGGTTTTCCACAGAGCAGAGCCCCAGCTCACTTAACCAAGAGCTTTGGCCTTAAAAAACCTGCAGGATTAGACTCTTACTGAAGGCCTGAGTAATGTGCGATCTCAGAGTACATAATGACTCACAAAGAGAAACAAATTACTGTAATTTAGGGTGTTTTGATTTCAATGCCAGAATTAGAACAATTCATTCCAGTTTGATTGAAAACAGAAGAGACACAGGGTAGGTTTTCATTTTGCAGGGCCTTCAAGCATCTGCTGTTAACAGCAAGAATTTGCAGTGAAAATCACAAAACACTGTTAGAAAAGCCCTTTAAAACACTTCCTGGGCCCATTCTCTTAGCCTGGTTTGCAGGAGATACACCTGTGTTATTTCAGAAGAATGTGAGAGCGCAGAGTCTCCTTATTGCCAACCATTGGATCTCTTCCATGCAGAGGGCTGGCTTCTGGCTTTTCTGCAGGAAAGTAAGTGAACAGATTAATCTTGGGAAGAGCAAGGCTGCTTGCATGCACAGGGCAGCACCACCCTTGCTTTATAGAGCTGTGGGGTTCTTGCCCTAACCAAAAGAGAGATTTCATCTGCAAGAAATTTCTGTATCACTGTGTAACTGGTGTATGCTGTCAGCATTTAACACATACCAAGTAAATAAGGCACAATAATAGTGTGGTGAGAGACATTTGAACTTTTTATTCAGCACTGGTGAAATGCTATGGTGTCTGCCTTTCCCCTTGCTCTCACTCTCCCCAAAGTCTGCTGGAATTTTGCTGCCACGTTGAGTATTCACCCCGAGATTATAAAAAGCCAAGAAAATGAAAGGAAGGATTAAGAAAAAGGCAGAGTTATTTGCCCTAACCTAGGAATCTACCTGTAAAATAATCAGCCTCAGCTTCCTTCACAGTCGCAGAAGGGGAATAACCACCTTATTTTAAGGCATGTGTATCATGTCAGTTGACTCCATTCTGGAGGTGTCTATTCCTCCCAATTGGCTCCAAACAGAGGCTGGAAAGTCTCATTCAAATACAGGTAGTTGTGTTTTAGATCTTAATTGTTATACGAGGCAAACTCCATCCAGCAGTCTGTTCCCACAGATCCCAGGTCTCCTTCCCTTTATACATCACATATCAGTATTGCCATCTTAATTGCTGTACACTGAAGAAAATGGAAGTTGTATCTGTAACAAAATGAAGGATTGTCTTGCAACAAAGATCCTTTCCGTGGCCCATCGTGCTGGCTGTGTCATTTACACAGCTCCTTCTCTGTCTTCTTCCTACCTCATCCTCAGTCTTGAAAAATTGCTCGCAATGCAGTCTAAGGGAACTTGCAAATATATCAAACAGTTTAGCTGTTTTTTCCAGATAAATCTACTAGTTTTATCCGTGCCCTTGATGCTCAGTGAAGAACAGGTCTAGCTGGCTGTACTATTTTTCTTTACATTAATAAATAGCATATGGCTGCAATGGCAAGATCCAAAACACATGTTCAAATTATCTGAGCATAAAACACAACCCATGCGAACAGTGAAAATACTTTTATGTAAATATATGTATGTAAATATATGTATATGTGTAATGTATATGTGTATATATATAGTCCCAAGAGTCAGATGCACTTGATTATTCTCTATTGTTGTTCAGAAACTCTAGAGGAAGATTTATTTTATTTTACCCCTTTCAGATTGATGAATGGAATCTTCATAGATCTTAAACTGAAAACTGTGACAAAGTGAATTGAGCTCTACTTTTATCATGTTTCACAGTTAAGTAAAATGAAGACCATTTGTAAGTCCTAGTAGTACATCTGTGTTGTGAATCAAGTGAAGAAGCTTATATAATTATTATACCTAACATCTGTACTGCTTCTGAACAAAATGTCAAAGCCTGAATTCCAGATTCATTCTCTCTGATGTCAGTTGCCTTCAAAGCAATTACCCTTGGTTGTCTTCTAGAGGTTTTCTTCTCCTTTGGTTCTTCCCCATGAACTACTTCTCAGATCTTCATCCTACATGTCCCCAATCCCAGTTTTCTATGTGACACATTGAAGTTTCCATCCTTCTTTCTTCCTAGGCTATTTCTTTCCCAAATACAAATTTAACTAGTTTCTGCTTATCATTTACACAGCTCTCTGTCCAAAGCTTCTGCTATCCACATGAAAATCTCTGATATCTCTCTGAAAGTTGCCAGCCAGACATTGAGATATCAAGCTAAGTATAGTAAAACAATACACTTAATATTCCTTTGACTGTTCTGTCCTCTGTATATATAGCCTTGATGTCTTTTGAAAGCCTTCTTATCTTGCCAGTTCCTCGAGCTCTTCATCTGGAATTCATCTTTTTCTGAACATGTATCTAGCTAGATCCAGGCAAGGTGCATGACTTGCAAACTCTCTGTACAATATAACTAACATAAGGACTTTTTTATCCATTGTGAATGAAAAATACTTGTTCTGTGTCTTAATACTTTAAAATCAATTGCAGGATTCTTTGACCCATCAATTTGCCCTGCTTCAGAAATCCCACCTGGAACAATGATACATTTTCTTCATTCATCACTTTAGCTATGACTGTATTGCCTAACATATGCCAGCAGTTTTTTCACATGAAAACAACTTCATTCTGGAAACTCTTCACAACCTGTATTTCCTCCTAACTCTTTCGGTATTGAAAGTTCAAAAACCATCTACAGCTAGCTCAGTCTCGTGCTTTGGATGTAATCTCTTCTCATTCTCTTGCTTTTGAACAGTTCTGGTCTTCCCAAAGACTATATCTACATGGTTGTATGACTGATTCCTTGATGCTAATTCATGCATGATGTTACTAACATATCAAATTTGTATCCACATCTGATGTAACTGTGCCTTTCAAGTTCCTGCATGCCAGTTCAGTCTAGTGTTATGATACATTATGGAGGCTAGTAGTGAACAGCTGAGAGAGGTCCAAAGCAGCTTCCTAATGTCCCTCATATTCATACAAACAATATGAATATTTCTATCACCATTAAATCAAGGAGATGGCTTAGATCTTTAGTTTTTACTTAGTAAAAAAATCAGTAAGGAACCCTTACAAAGTCAATCACCCCATGCCAGCAGAGAGGTAACTAAGACTGAGCAAAAAGAAGGAACTGTATCCTACACTGCATCAAAAGAAGTGTGGCCAGCAGGCCGAGGGAGGTGATTCTGCTCCTCTGCTCTGCTCTGGTGAGACCTCACCTGGAGACCTGCGGCCAGCTCTAGGGTCCACAGTACAGGAAAGACATGGATCTGTTGAAGGGCCCAGAGGAGGGCCATAAAAATGATCAGAGTGATGGAGATTGCCACCCCATGACCAACGAGAACTACAGATGTTACGAAGCAACTTCTCAAACCACTTCAGCTTTCATTGTGCCTTGCTAAGTTCTGTTAGCACTGATTCCAGGTTTCCTCATTGCTCAAGGCTATAAATCTGGGAGTTTTCAAGAGCTGCTTCAAATTTTTTTCACCTCTCCTTGACATTGGGTAGCAGTTTGTAGACAGGAGGCCACCAGTAGCTGAGGGTATTAACAGTACCAACTTCAATCTTGTTATGGTTGCAAGTCAGTGCTCCGTCCTCACCCTGAAATGGACTGGAAGGGCTCATGGGCAATCATTGCTTCTCCAGTGGGAAACAGGACCAAAGGGTGGATATAAGGCTCTGTGTCTTCCTCTGCTGTGCTGGAAGCATGCTGGACATCCCCTTCCTGACCAGTGGTGGAGCACACCCAAGTCAAGGCCACATGAGGGAAGGTGCTGGTGCAGCCTTGAGATCACTCTGGAGTCTCTGTAGATCTTTCCCTGTGGCACCTGAGTCTGTAGCAGTACTAATAATTTTGATAAGGAAATCACACACTATCAAATATAATAATGAAGATGACTGATTAAGGTCAATCTCTTTAATTGAATTACGGACTTACACTCTCCAAAGGAGTATGTGTTGTGGAATGATTAATTTGGCAGTCAGACTTCTACATTATTTTGAAAGTCATAACAAACCGTTTGCATGCAGATTTCCTTGGCTTGCAGGAGAAACAGGTAATTTTTTTTTAATTTTGAGTGCTTTATGAAACAAGTGTTGCTGAAGAGCTGAGTTTCATGCAATACAGTCTCAGGTAGGTGTGGGTTAGTCATAAGAGAAAGATAAAAGATGTCCTCCTTAGGTCAAATCTCTTTTTTATGTCATTCTTATTACACAAAGGCTGTAAATCTCCAGCCATAAGGCAGGCCAGGTGTGCATATGAAGAAAGAACTTAGGCTGTCATTTTCAAAGAAGTTGAAGACACTTATGTGCTATTGAAATGCAGTTTACAGTTCATTAAACCTTCAGTAATTGTTGCTTCCCATAAATTAATATTTATTATCTGTTTTGTTCTAATAATGGTTACATTTCTCAAGTAAAAAGGTTTCGCTTTGTTAGGTGCAGAAGATGATGGAAGAAGACTACCAGGAGGCAAAAAAATGGATCCACTTGTATATTTGTAATTAGTATTTTATTTCAAACTCTTTTGCCTTTGAAGAACGGGCAAAATATGAAAATGAAAAAAAACAATTCCAGTAGATTGTTCTGCTGAATACATTTTTGAAACATTGCTGATAGGACCAATGCTGTACTGCATAGCTTTCAAAACAGTTGACCTCAGTTAGTACATAACCTCTAAACTGCATCACAGGTCTTTCAGAAGATTGTGAGGTTTTTTTGTCCTCCTTTTGTTTATATTCCTCTCCTGGATGACTGTTTTTATTTTGGTCCATTTCTTTCTCTCTTTATTAATACTCATCTATCTCAAGGGTTCCTCTGCTGAGTAAAAAAAAAAAAAAAGAATACATTCTGTGCTACAATACTTAGAGCATCACAAATCATGGTCATATCATGAAAAACATCTGAACGTTTTCTTACGTCCCTTGGTGTAAAGAGGCTGCTTGGAAACGCTTCTGCACTTTAATCCTTGGGAACACACATCAGTAAACCAAGGACATGAACTACAGAAATTCTTACTGGAAAGTAAAAGATGTTTCATAAAAAATAAGTTGTTGGGAAAGTAAAGGTGGAATTATTTTTTTGAAGCTGTTATTTGTGGGTAACAGAAGTTAAAGAGCTGGCAGCAAAAACACCATTCAGAGTTGCCTTTCTTTTCCTTTAATCCAGGCATATTGTGGTAGTTTCAGCTTGAGTGCCCTCCTTCCTCACTCTGTGTCAGCTGGAAGGAATACTATTAAGCCCAAGGATTTTTTTATTTTTACTTTTTTGCATGATGGTAGCATGTAGGGAAGATGATTAGAAATGAGGCTCCCACAGAGGCAAGCATGCAGGAAGAACCACCAGTCTTTCGAAGAGAGACTCATTTGTTTCTTATTTAGTTCCTTGGCTTTGTAGAGAATGCTAACAAGGAAACAAGGAAAATTTAGACCTAAGATGTTTGCTTCAAATTTCACTTGTTTAAATAGGTCATTAAAATAAATATTAATATTATGTCAATAAGCCTCCTCTGTTGTATCTCACAGCTCCCAACCCACCCACCATTCGAGAAGAGCTCTGTACAGCTTCTTACGATACCATTACTGTCCACTGGACATCAGATGATGAGTTCAGTGTGGTCTCTTATGAACTGCAGTACACCATCTTCACCGGACAAGCTAATGTTGTTAGTAAGTATACAGCTTCTCTTTGCTAGTTCTGTTTCCTTATGTTTTTTCTGTAAATCAAGTGCCTTTATATATAAATGTACTCATACGTCAAGGACAAAAGGAAAAAATATTTTCTAGGAAGAATTAAAGCCAAAAGTTTAAATCCAAACCAATAATGATATCAAAGGGTTTTAAAATTCAGAATTCATTCAGTTAAAATTTCTTGTGTGTTTTCTGGGAATGTCATGTAGTGAGAGCTTTTGAAGACTAAAACCAGCACATATTCCCAAAGGCACAAGTACTGTCCATGTTAATAGGACTTACAGAATCATAGAAATACTGAATAGTTTGGATTAGAAGAGACCTTTAAAGGTCACCTAGTTCAAATTCCCCTGCAATGAGCAGGGGCATCTTCAACTAGATCAGGTTGCACAGAGCACCATCCGACCTGACCCTGAATGTTTCCAGGGATGGGGCATTGCTGGGCAACCTGTGCCAGTGTTTCACCACTCTCATTGTAAAAAAATTTCTCCCTCTACCCTCTTTCAGTTTAAAAAGATTACCTCTTTTCCTATCACAACAGGTCCTAATAAAAGTGTTTGTTCCCATCTTTTCATCTTTCTTATAAGCTGCTTTTAAGCTGAATCCCCGCCCCCTACCTTGACCTACTGGCCACATTTCATTTTATGCAGCCCAGGATATGGTTGGCTTTCTGGGCTGCAAGTGCACATTGCTGGCTCAGGTCCAGCTCTTCATCCACCAGCACCACAAATCCTTCTCTGCAGGGCTGCTTCAAATCCCTTCATCCTCCAGCCTGTACTGGCAGTGAGGCTTGCCCCGACCGAGATGCAGGACCTTGCACTTGGCCTTGTTGAACCTCATGAGGTTCACTTGGGCCCACTTCTCTACAAGTCTCTTGCATCTTATGTCCCTTGTTGCAGATGTAGCCACAGGGATTAAGACCTCATTTCCATTGCCTGGGCTACTCAGGCACTTGGGAGTCTGTGTTGAATTGGTCATTAGTTAGAACTGCAGCCCCATTGTAATTTAGATACCCTTGACAACTGGACCTGTCAGAAATACAGATTAAGTCCTTGCCTCTGATTTTTACTGTCTTCAAGGCTACAAAGCATAGGTCTCTGTTAGTATATGGCTAGTGCAGCAAATATCAGTGGAACAACAATTGGTATGGTAACTTTGTTCAACTCAGAATGACATTAGTTATCATTGTTTTACATGTTGTATTGTAGCAGATTTTTTATTAACTACACTGTTTTGAATCTGTGACTTTCCTGAATGAACAAGCTTACTGATTATTCAAATTGTTTTGTTGTTAAATAACTATGCCTCCAATAAAAACATATTGTCTAACCTTTGGCCAGGAAGTCAACACTTCTGGGTTCATTGCATAGTGATCATTGACTATGAATTTGGAGAAGTCATTTAACATCTTTCTGTTCCCCATATGTTTAGCGGGTATACCACTAGCTGGCATGTACTTGCTTTATAAAACTAAAGGATTCTGAAATGAAGCAAATCAATCAAAAGGTGGAGTTTGTTCAGTCAACCCGTATTTAAATTTGAAACTCATTGCCATGGAGGACTGTTGATTAAAAGTCTGTTTGAGTTCAAGAGGTGACTGGACAGATCATATAAGAAAAATTCTCTGAGAATAATGAAGTGCAGAGACTTCCTCCTGGCTCAGGAAGTCCCTGAGCTGTAAGCTGTTGGAGCCTTGGAGAACATGGTGAGAAATGATCACTGTGTGCTTTCCCTGTTCCTTAATACCTTCCTATGCTCTTGCTCTTGTCCACCATCAGATACCCCGGGCATGCACAGAGCTAGATAGGCTTAGCTCTGACCCAGTACGGAAGGGATTTTGTTCTTACAAAATTTGTTGAGATGCTTTGATGTAAGTCAATGCTGTGGACATAATTACATAATTTATGTCAGTGAAAAAAATGGTATGTTCTATACCAAGTCTCAGTACTGAGACAGACTCTTGCACTGACTATTCTGTTGGTGGGAGCACCTCATTTTCTCCATCACTAAACTGGAATTAGTACTCCAGTACTACATCTGCTAGAATGCAGAGAAGCCCTCCAAAG